CATGGGCAGGGGGCGTGCGGCGCCGGGCAGGGATGCGAGGTGGCACACGCGAGCCCGAGGTGACCCGTCGCGCGGGTCACGCTGCCCGGCGCCGCACGCTCCGCGCCGGTGCCCGCTCACACATCCCCGCCGGGCGAGCACAGAGCCGTGCGGTGGTGCATGTCCCTCGGCCCTGGCACAGCCATGCTTCCCCTGTCCCGAGCTGCTTTGGATAGTTTGTGGGGTTATTTCAAAAAAAAAAAAAAAAAAACAGTATTTCGCCTGAGGACTTGAATCTTTTTTTTCCCTCCGCTTGACTGACTTTCTCACACTCCTATTCCCATAGTCTGCCAGCTAAGCCTGAGTCATCCTGCCAAGAACTAGACCTGGCCTATTCAAAGCTGTGCTCACTCGCTTTCTTTCTTCTGTCTCTATTTTCTTTCTTTTCTTTTCCTTTTTTTTTTTTTTTTGAGTATACACAGTAATGTTTTTCCACCTCCTCCAGTACCTGATCTGCACCTGTACAGGGCCAATCCCACACATATCACCTGATCTTGCCTTTTCAAAGACCGTGAGAAAAATGAAGTTCAAGAAAGAAGAGACATGTTTGCAGATCTCAGCAGTGCAAAGCCCTCCTCTCTGCAGAAGCTGGCCTGCATTGCCACCGATGTTACATTTTTTTTAATAAAAGGAAAATAAATAGAGTATCGTGTTTAAAACTACAGAAAAGTGTAAGCCCGGGTTTTTTCTCGACTCCTTGATTCAGCCACAAGTCTTTTGATTTAAAAACATAGAGCAGCCTTCACTGTGTAAGATTTAACTTCGGATGAGCAATATTTGGCATAAGCTACACTTAATTAGACATTTGGACAAACTCAAGTGATGAAAAGAGCAAGAGATTGCGCTGGGGAAGTAGCTGCCAGCAAACCTTTTCTTGGTCACCTCTAGGGAGAAAGCTAACACAAGTGATTAGCGAGGTGTCATGCAGAATTTTTAAGGCACCTGTATTGCTTTTTGGTGTGCCAACATTTTCACTAGTGTTGATACCTGTATATTTTTTGGTGGGGGGGAAGAAAAAACATAAAAGGAAGGTTATCGCAGTTATTGAGTCAGTGCTCTCCCTCATTTACAAAGGGGTCAGGAAATGCGAGGCTGGGCGGCTGGGTCCCTCCCGGGCTGGGAGTGAGAACAGGCTGTAATTATGTCCATGTTTATGGTAGCCAAGAGCTGCTAACCACCTCTAATTGCCGGCAACAGGTCGGTTTCTCTGGGGGATGAGAAGGGGGAAGACAGTGGGAACAGGCTGTAATTGCTGGTTGCCAGTGCCAGGGAGCTGTGATTGCTGCCAGCAGCCCCCTCCCGCGTGGCAGGGGGTGCACGGCCTTTCCCAGGCTCCCCTCCCTGCGGCTGCCCCGCCGGTGCCCACAGCAGGGTCTCACGGAGGTGGAAGAAGCAAGAGCTGTTTCCTTTGGAGCATGTGGGGAGCCTCTCAAAGCATCACCTTGCGCAGGCTGTGCCCCGGGGTCTCCTGCTCTGAGAGGGGCACCGCAGTGGGGAGTCATCCTGGTGCCCGCGCTCCGAGCCGCCTTCATCTGCTCGCTGTGAAATGCCTTATCCACGCGATAGTTGTGATCCGTGAGCGGAAGCGTGGATACGTGTGAATTCCCCAGGGATCAGAAGAGGAAGGGGAGGATTTGCGTTGGAGGATGTTTCTGGGAGTGAAGTGGCCAAACCCAAGTTTAGGTTGGAAGGAGGTGGTGAGAAGGTTTGCAGTCATTAGGGGTATCTGGAAGAGATGATCTGGGCTTCTCCAGCCCTGCCTTGGCTTTTGAAAGGGGTGTTAAGAGTGAGGTAATGCCTCGAGATAAGGAACTACCCCGGGGACCAGAGTGCCCCTTGTCCTGGGGTCCTCTGACAATGGTTTTCTTTACTCGAGCTGTAATGTTGGGTTGCAAATTGGAAATTGTCCAAGGTGCAGATTTGGGGAGGGTCTGTAGAGAGTGTCAAACAAAACATATCAGGGTGTTTCAGAACTCCTGCAGAACATCTTTGAGTAAAAATACATTGGCAACAAAATTTAGACTAGTCCTTGGCACTGGCCCAGGAAGGTGGGATGAAATAGGATGCGGCACGGAGCAAGCAAGGAGGCTGCAGAGCTCTCCATATCTGCGGTCCGCTCCTTTAGGAAGCAGCCAAGAGCAGAGTGAAACTTGCTTCTAGAGATCTGTGTGCCTAAGCGCTCAGAGATTGCAGGGGCCCAGGAAATGTAAAGAACTTGGAAAAGAGATTGATCATAAGACCTGGGTAAATACTGATGGTGGTGGAGGGGGTGGAAATAAATAAAAAACTGATACAAGCTGAGCCATTAATAGCACATCAAGCCTTTCACCTTCAGGTCATGGGCTGAAATTCTAGCCTGGCTGTGCCGGGAAGCTGTCACCATCTTGAAGTCTGGAAAGCGAGTGCAGGGCCTCAGGGACAAGTGTGTCCCTAGCGCAGACATCTCCTCTGGGCAGCCCATACGCACATGGCCAATGTCCCCCTACACACCAAGTCCTCGTGGTAATAAAGGGCAAAACAACTTCCATGGGACAGTGCTACTGCCTAGTGCTCCTGGGGGCAGGAGCAGTTTGTTGGCTGGGATGGCAGCCCTGTCTTGCAGCATGTCCTGCCCCCTGCTTTAGACTGGGGATCCCCTTGCTGCCCGGCCTGCTGAGACCCCGGATCCTGGCATGGCTGCAGCTGGCAGGGGCACTTGGCAGATGAGCCGTGGGGGTCTCACACAGCTGCAGCTCCCCAGCAAAGCGTGTGTCTCGCAGGAGCTGCCCTCCTCCAGCTGTTCCCACGTGCCAGTGCAGGGAAGAGGCAGAGGTGCTGATGCATTTTCCTCCAGGCATGTGAGTCACGCTGGCGTGGGGAGCTCTGGCCACACAACACCCCGTTCTGCTGCAGTTTCCCCCTGCTTTGGGGAGGGCACCTGTGGGCTCCAGAAAGCAGCACCCTGCCTGTTTGTGCTGCACACTTGGCAGGCAGACACCCCCAGGAATCACCCCGAAAGCTGCGAGGCGAAGTGGCCAAGCAGCAAAGCACCACTCTGAGAGATTCTGATGTCGCTAAGAGCCATTTTTGTCCTGTCTTTGCAGCACAGCCCAGTGCACAGCTCTGCGCCCATGAGGCTCTGGGACAGGAGCCAGGATGCCTAGGTCTCTTTTTCAGCTGATTCCTCCTGTCCTGCTGAGCCAAGGAAGAGCTGCCCTGGGAGCACAGGGCTGTGGGGGAGAGCATTTGGCAGCTGTGAATTGCTGCCCATGTGGATGGAAATGCTTTTCCTGCCCCTCATAATCATCATGTTATTTTGGAGATTGCTATTTGGGCTGGTGCAGCCACATGTGCTAATGGACGGAAGGCGGTGCAGCCCCAGCTTTCCTCTTGCGCTGCTTGCAGCCAGGTCCTCAGCAGGCAGGGAAGGCTGGACCCAGGCAGGAGGTGCAGCTGCAGCCTGGAACAAGCCCTGGGAATGTCCCCAAACTGTATGTGGGGCTTGGACCTGTATCTGCCACTGTCATCCCCAGCCGGGGGCTACGAGCTCCCTTATAACCTTCTCTCGGAGATGCTCTCTCAAAGGGACGTGACCTGAATTCATTGGACCAAGAAT